CTGCTGGGGCCACGGCTGTGCTGCCCCCACCCCACAGACCACTTGCCACCACTGCCCCCACCCCTGCCTCATCCACTGGACTCCCACCTGCCTCTCAAAGCCCTGAGCCCCTACAGCAAGCATGTCAAACTCCAAGGCTAACACGGGCCAAATAAACATGGCATGTAGCCCGTGGACCATGAGTTTGACATGCTTGCCCTTCAGAGTGCTGCCAGCAGACAGCACCAATGCTCACTGCTTCTCCACTGCTGCTATGGGCTCATGGGGGCCTGGGTGTACAACACGCACAGACATGCACACAGAGTCACATGCATGTGTGTGCACAGACATGCACACACATGGATGTAGATACACATGCAGTAGACATGGGCACACATACACATAGACACATGCCCAGATATGGACACACACAAAGACACACATGGACATGGACACAGAGACATACACATGCATGGACATGGACGTAAACACACATGCTATGGACATTGGCAAACAGACACATGCACAAATGCAGAGACATATGCATGCATGCATGCAGACATATGCCCAGATATGGACACACACAAATACACACATGCACTTGGACACAGGCACACACACAAACATGCACATACATCAACATGGACACAGAGATACATGCTGTAGACATGGGCACACAGACACATGCCCATGTGCACATGTGTGCAAAGTTACAGGCATGCAGTACACACTCGTGCACATGTGCACAGGTGTTTACACAGAGACTCGCATGTATGCATTGAAACACATGCAAAGATATGGACACATCCACACAAAGGCACACATGCACAGACATGCACACATGAATATAGACACAGAGACACATACCATGGATATGGACACACAGAGACATGCAAAGACATGTACATGTGCACACAGATACACAAATACCTACATATTCATATACACAAACCCACAGATGCATGCACACTCACACACACACATACATGGACACATACACACAGAGACACAAATGCACATGGATGCAGAGACACACATGCAGTGGACATGGGCATACATGCACATATACACGAAGACACATGTAAAGACATAGACACATGCACACAGAGATACCTGCACACACATGCACTCACACAGTTAATGCAAGCTCATACACATCCACACCGAGACACACAGGAGCACTCGCACACAGAGACGAGTCGTAAATGCACAGATGTACACTGACACATGGACACATTTGCACAGACACTTGCACGTGCAGACACACACATGCATGTGCATGCAGAGATACACACACACACACGGATGTCCACCCTGTGCGCCCTGGTCACTCTGTTCCCTTGCACACTCCTGCCTCTGCACCGCGCTTGCTACAGGGCTTCCTGCCCAGTCTGCTTGTCTTCTGTCTCTGCTTGGAGGTGCATCCATGGGCCAGCCCAGCCAGGACTCTGACCAGGGCACCATCCCAGGCTCAGAGGGTCACCTGGCTGGCGGCTGCAGCTCCTTGGGGCCACCCCAGCCCTGTCCAGGCTGTTGTAACAGCAGGACCTGCACCCGCCTGTGAACAGAAGCAGTCTGCTCCATTCCCAGCAGACGGCACTGCCCCCCTTCGGACCACCCCCTAGACCAGTGATGGCGAACCTATGACACACGTGTCAGAGGTGACACACGAACTCATTTTTTTGGTTGATTTTTCTTTGTTAAATGGCACTTAAATATATAAAATAAATATCAAAAATATACATCTTTGTCTTACTATGGTTGCAAATATCAAAAAATTTCTATATGTGACCCGGCACCAGAGTTAAGTTAGGGTTTTTCAAACTGCTGACACACCGAGCTCAAAAGGTTCGCCATCACTTCCCTAGACACCCCATGTTCTTGGTCCTTTGGGGACCTGGGCTCCAGACGCTGCCTCAAAGGCCCATCTGTGTTGGGGCTCCAGACCCCACTGTATGTGTCCGTCTGTCCAGCCCAGCCTCACTCTGTCTGGAGCCTCGGGTGTCTGTCAGACCACTTGATCCCAGAGATATGATTCCTAGTGGGGCAGACAAGCCAGCCAGGGCCCCCCATGGCTTCCCACACTCGCCCTCCACTCTGAGGAGAGAGTGAAAGTCCCACTGAGGAAGCAAGGAGTGTCCCTCGGTCCCAGACCTGTGCCTGCCCCCACTGCCACCCCCACCCACAGGGGACAGGAGGTCCCACTCCCAGCTTCGTCACCCCAAATGGCCCTGGCTGTACCACCTCTAGGAGAGCCCGGGACCCTGAAAGCACTTCACTGGGGTCCCAGCCCTGCTGCACCCCGAGTGCTTCAGGGCCCCTGCCTGCTGCCCTCCGCTTCTGCCGCCGCCCCGCCCCGCCCTGTCCTCCTGGGTCAGCACCACCAGGACCCCCAGAAGTGGAGTATGGGTGGCCTGGGAGGGGGTTTTGGGGTACAGCACTGAGCCCCTTGTTGTGTCCCTGCAGGGGGTGAGGTGAGCGCCGATGAGGAGGGCTTCGAGAACCTCAACACCATGGCCTCCACCTTCATCGTCCTGTTCCTGCTCAGCCTCTTCTACAGCACGACAGTCACCCTGTTCAAGGTGAGCGGGCGGCTGGAGGGCTGGGGCTCAGGGGCACCCAGCACCGTCCCGAGCCGTGCCTCACGCTGCCTCTGTCGTCCGCAGGTGAAGTGACCTGCCGGGCAGGAGCGTGGACATAAGGAGGGGGTGCCTGCCGCCTTGCACCCCGGCCCTGCCTGCCACTGGGCCCTTGTACATAAACCCCTGAGCCGCCTCCAGCTTCCAGCGCGAGGAAACCGCTTCCCTGGATGCCCCGCAGCCGAGCGCTCGGCCGGGGTCGCTGCGCAGTGTGTGCCCTTGTCGCCTTGAAATAAATATGTACATGTTACCTTGTGACACTGCGTCCTGTGAGCCTAATTCTGACTGGTATGTGGGAAAGGGGGGTGCCCTCTGCCCAGGCCTGGGGCGGGGGCAGGTCAGCCTGAAGGACGAGGCTGAGCTGGGGGGACGCAGGCCTGGGCTCCCCAGCACCGCCTCCTCAAAGCTGGGCTCTGCCTCCCAGTGGTCAGCAGGGCCTGGCCTGGGGCACCCGCAGGACGTGCCTCACTGCTGTTGCCGTTCCTGGAAAGCCCAGCCACTCTTTCTGTCCCAACCTTGCCAAGTGTCTGGGGTGTGTCCTTGGGTCCTGGTGACCAGTCTAGAGCATGCATGACCCGTAGGCAGGGCAGCAGAGGGAGGCGCCATCCACCCTGGGGCTAAAACAAGGCAGGTGGCAGCTGGGCCAGGAACCATGGTAGGGCGTGAGGTGCTGGGAGGCAGGAGCCATGCACAGGAGATGTGGGGCGTGTGTTGGGGGCTCACGGGGCCAGGAGCTCACAGCCGGGCAGCCACAGGCCATGCAGCGTCCAGGCCTGTTATGGTGGCCAGGGCCTGGGCAAAGGCCACCCGGGGGCAGGCAGGGCAGACCTGGCAGGGCCAGGGTCCTAGGAGGGGCCAGGGCAGGAGCCGCTGAGCCCGGCTCTGGGAAGAGGCACTTCCAGGAGCGGAGGCACTGCCTGGGCTCACAGGGCCGCCGAAGCGGGGTGTTCAGGCCTGAGCGTTAGCCTGGCCCTGCAGGGTGACTGCCCACAACAGAATCGGAAAAGGACACTGATCCCAGGGGAAGTCTGTCCCCTGGCCTGGGCTCCACGTGCACAGCTTCCAGGCTCCAGCTTTGTTTCCATTAAGTGGATCCCATCCGGGGCCAGCCTGTGGGCTGAGGGACCCGAGCAGGGCCCCAGGCAGTGTGAGCAGTGTGAGGCTCAGGCACCACGCGGCTCTCAGGACAGCACCAGTGAGTGTCTGAGGCCGGCATGGGAAAGAAGCACAGGTCCCACGGCTTAACCACAGAAGTGTATCCTGCCGCCGGGCTCTGGGGTCAGATCAAGGTGAGGGCAGGGGCAGGCGGCCCCTGTGGCTGACCATGGCCTCCTTTCCCGCCTCCACAGCCTTGAGCTCGCTCTGCACTTCCACCACTGTGGCCTTCTCCTGTGTGTGTGTGTCCCCAAGTCCCCTTCTCATAAATTCGCAGTCAATTCAGGGAACCCTCTCCTTAACTCACTGATCACACTCTCCATTATCCCAATGCAGCTGCCTTCTGCAGGACCGGGGGAGAGGGTAGGACAGTGACGGCGAACTTATGACACACGTGTCAGAGGTGACACGCGAACTCATTTTTTTGGTCCATTTTTCTTTGTTAAATGGCATTTAAATATATAAAATAAATATCAAAACTATACATCTTTGTTTTACTATGGTTGCAAATATCAACAAATTTCTCTATGTGACACGGCACCAGAGTTTAGTTAGGGTTTTTCAAAATGCTGACACGCCGAGCTCAAAAGGTTCACCGTCACAGGGGTTGGATGTCAGTGTATAAATTGAGGCACACAACTCAAGCCACAATAGTCTACCCGCTGACTCCCCAAATTCACATCTTTCTCACATGCAGAATACCCCACCCCAACACCCCCGCAGGTCTAACCCATCCAGCATCCCCTCTCAGTCCCAAATCTCAGCTAAACCAGGCAGAGGAGTCACGAAAGTGAGGGGTCCTGGGACTGAGGTCTCCCAGCCACGAACTGTGGAGCAGACTTGGGGTCTGCAGGCCAGCTAGCCCCATGGCTGGCATTTCCATGCCAGAGGGAGGAGAGGGAAGGATGGGGAAGGGGAGGTCATGGGCCCCAAGCAAGTTCAAGCCTGAAGGACAAGTACCATTTTAGATGTTTTGTCATTGATTTAAGAGAGAAAGAAACTTCGATTTGTTGTTCCAATTACTGATATGTCCATTGGTTGCTAATATGTGCCCTGACCAGGATGGAACCCGTAACCTTTGGTGTAGTGTTGCAATGATCTAACCAGCTGAGCTACCCAGCCAGGGCCCAAACCCCATTAGATTTCAAGGCTCCAGAAGGTCCCTCAGTCCATGCTCTGTCCTCGGGGTCCATGTGGCAGCCAACCCTCCAAGCGGGGCGTGAGTCTTCGGGCCCTGGTGGCAGTGGTGCCCCGTCGGTCGCAGATGGCCTTCGGTTCAGGCAAGCCTGCTCCTGCTCCTGCTCCTCTTCCTAATCCTCCTGTTCCTCCTCCT